AATGTCCAAATAATACTAACTTATTGATTGAATGCATGAATTCTGATATTCATTATCTCTATTATTTGATAATGTCAGTAATTTAAAGTAACCAGTGAGAAAAGAATTTACTTTTTAGGAATAAGGCTAGTTCATTTTATGGTTACAAGGAGATAATAGTTTCCAAAGTGGGTTTGAGAACCAGAACCATCTGAGCCGGATGTTAAATCCTAGCTCATGGCCCCCTTTCAATGGTTGAAACCTCCAGGAATTAAAATTTGACCTATAACCCCAGTTGATTTTCATGCCCACTAAATTTAAGATTGTTTAATAAGCATCTAGAAGTATCTAGGATTGATTGATATGCACAGATTGTAAATATACTGATATTCATGCTTAACAGGCAAATCTGTAATAAAAAGATCTCCTAGTGTCATTCATGTCTTGAAGCATAGAATTGTGGTTTGCAGAAACAAAGCGTTTCTGATGTGTTAGTTCTCTGTAAGCCTCAGGGTGGTTGGGAGTGTGCAAGGCAGCAGGAAACAGGAGTGGAGCCTGAAAGAGGGCTGCATAACAAGGTGTGTTTGTCACAGTTAATCCTGAGAATAGAGAGTGCATACGTAGGTAATAGTACAGGACATGAAAAATACAAGTAACTCATTTTGATATGTGGCATTAACTAAATGTCTGCATGTTTTTCCATGTAGAAGAAATATTCATGGAGTCCCAAGAGAAAAAATACACCGAATGAAGGAACGGTATGAGCACGGTGTTACCTTTCACAGTGTGCTTCATGCAGAAAAACCAAGCAGAGTGAGCAGAAGCCAGGACAGGAGCAGCGCATCACCTTCCAACAGGGCAGGACACTGGAATCCCTACGCAGAGTTTCCAAACCGGAGGGCTCCTGGGGGCTCCACACATGAGAGCTCCTTTAACAGAAGGGGGGGCAGTCACCATGGGTATTAGAGGCCTGTCTTACAGGCATTCCTAGTTTTCCTAAATCAGTTTTTACTTCGATTTTTGGTATTTAGTCTTTTTGTTCAGTTTTAGTCAGAGCTCTAATTCCAGTATAAATTGTCAAACATGAATGTTTTTAAGCAGAAGTCATCATATTACTCTTCAACAGACATTTGTTAAAGTGATCCTCTATGCATGGTCTGATGCTGGGAGTTTTGCAGTTTTGGTTAAACCAAGTCACTCTCTAGGGAAAGAATTAATTGGAAGCTGAAACCTGAGAACACATGCAAGAACATAATCAATTAGTCACATAGTTTCATAAAATAAACTGTTTATAGTACATATAAGCTTCAGTACTACTTCCTCTGAAGTAATCTATTTTTTTCAGGAATTCTCCATCAGGAAAGTTGGAAAGGTGGGAGGACAAGTGAGAGGCAGGAAAAGTTTTAGTGCCATTGCTTTTTAAATCTATGTATCCAAAAATGTGAGATGTGTGGCTGTAATGATGATATTGATTTTCCTTTAAAATGAATATGCTGGAAAGTATACATCTAAGGGAATACTGTCCTTCAAAGTAGACACTTTGAGAAATTATTCCTTTATTCTAGTGACATGTCATTGTTAAAAATGTCTGTTGAAGCCTTCTTAATAGCTATACAAGCTACTGAGGAAAACTGGTGTCATTATTTAAAGTCACTATTTATAGTCTTGTGTTTTTAACTACCACATCATTGAGCAGGATTAAACCTAAATAACTTTTGGCTGTTGTGCTAATAGTATAAATAAAAGAAGCCTTGTTTATGAAACATTGATTTTTAATATGAATCATTAAGCAGTTTTTTAAATTTTTCTTATAAATGTCATTCGTTGGCAGCCCCAGTGTTTGGAGTGCAAGGAATTAAGCATCCCAGTATATAGGTCATAGAGGGATATGTGAAAATCATGCTACCAGATGAGCAATCCTGGTGTTTCATGTGGCATTGACAGTGAAGTTCTGCCACAACTCTGGAATATCCCTCTTCTACCAATACTGAATTTTGAATCCAAATTAAATCTCAACAGGTTGGAATCAGATTAATTTGGTGTGAGACCCTGACAGTTAAGACCAGGTAGGATGTGTGCTTTATTTCTTGTTGGCCAACAGCTTCTTGCTAATGTTCTGTGAAGTATTATTTTAAGTGTCTTATATAATGGTGTTTTTTATGGTTATTAAAAATCATATATGGTGTTGCTTTATATGGATTTGTCATTGAATCTAAGCCTTTTTTGTTCAACAATATAAAACATTTAATTACCTAAGTCCCACGGAATACTATATTGAGAACCAATTTTTCTATATCATAAATTTATTTACCAATCTTAAGCAGGCTGTAAAAGACAAAACTAACCTTATTTTTTACTTGTTTACATAATTTTATCTGTATACCTTAGAAAGACTTTTATTTTGACATTCCATTATCTGAGTCTATTGAAAGCTACTCAATATCTTAATTACTACCAGCAGTGCATCTGTAATTCTTCATTAACATTTTAAAAATTGGCATCTCCTTTGAGTAATAGAGTTTGGCTGATGAAACTAAAATTTACTGAATTTAAATAAACCTAAGGTATTATTATAGTTTTGCTAAATTCTGTGTGTGTCCGAACAAGACACACAATAATCCTCTAATAATCATGATAGTCCACGCAATCCTGCTAGATGATCCTGAGTATCCTAGTCAATGTGATTATTGCGGAATTTGTTTAATCAGGAGGGCTTGACTCATTGAGGATAGTGGAGTAGGGAGGAGTGTCAGAGAGCACAAACTGGATTTACTTTCCTTTGATTCCAAAGAAGTCAAAAGGGTCAGAATTCAAGCCCTCCCAATTAATGTCTGGCTTTCTGCTTAAACATTTGGGCCACTGGGGCTGAGTGACCACTATGGAGACGTAGACCCAGGTTACAGATCCAGAGCTTTAACCAAGTTCAGATGAATAGATTCCTGGTCTATTTGCCTTTTTTCCCCCTATATGAAACCTAAAATACTTGGTATGGAAGCATAAAAATAATTGGTTAAATGCTGTCAACTTTATATATCCCAGCTAGAAGTGATCTCTTATTTTCTGTCAATTCCCTGATTTATATAGCTTTTTGAATCCTCGACACGGACATGTATTATTTCATGTGTTGGTACCTCTATCATTCACAGAGCTGGCATGCTTTAGAGGTACACAGGCTGTCACTACTTATTATTATTATGAGTGCTGAACAGGTAACACAAATGCTTTTACTACTTATTGCTCATGCAGTGTACACTGTTGACTTGGTAATCATTAAATTGTCACTTTAGGGGGATAATATCCACATATCCTCCAGCTTCATATGTTGCTCATATAGCTTAGCTATATTATTTACAATTTATAAAAAAGAGGCAGTGCATTAAATGTCTCTTATGGGTCATCCACATGGTAATGAATAATGGAGGAGATAACAACAGTTATGCTTTTACAGGAGAAAAAAACATTATAGTCTTATAATCTTTCTGTTCCTGAGACTCAAGTTTCATCCCCTGTTCTAGAATGTATCACCAGAAAAATGATTAGCACCGGAAGACTAAACTGTTTTATGAAAAAAACCTAAATTGCATTAATAAGATGGCAGAACACAAGTTAAAAAGACTAGTAGAACTGACTACTTGTTATATTAATGAATTTTAGAGGAGAGAAAATCATGGATCACAGCTACAGACAGAAACAAACTGCTTCATAAAAGGACTTTCCTTGGCTTTGAAAAGTGTTTATAATGAGATTTTAAAACATATTACTCGCTCTGCTGTATACTTGTAACTAATAGAGAATAATACTGAATGTAAACTGTAATTCAGAAATAAAAATTAAAAAAATATATATAAGTTTAAGACACTGAAACACCTGATTTAAGAGCTTCTCCATGCTATTAGCTCATAGTTAGAACTGCTTTTTTGCTCTTCTATTAAATATAAGAAAGTAACAAATGAGAATATCATCCTGAATTGAACTGTTAACTTCTGTTGTGAAGGTGTCTAGAGAAAACTAGGGGTACAGGGAGCCCCATTGTGTCCTGTGATGGTGCTAAATCAAAGCAGGCAGAATCAAGGCTGACTGGAAAGACAGGTTTTCTAAGCTGCAGTCCAGGTCATCATTTTGCTAAATCAAAACTGGTACTATGAAATCTGCTTCTGATTTCAAGTATTTGAATTTTAATTGAAATAATTTAATTTCAGAGATCACACTGGGATCATAAAAAGGAATTAATTACACTGAGGGTTCTCTTTTTCTTGTAGTTATGCTGGCTTCAAGATGAACAATTAGTCAAAAGAAAACACCAGTCATATGTCTTAGCCCAATTTTTGATCAGGACAGAACTATGGTAAAACCAACTCATGCATTGAGGAAAAGTAGTTCGTGGGCGGTTACTTCTAAACAAAACAAAACAAAACAAAACACCTAAAATAGGAACTAAATTAAAAGGAACTTTGTGAGTCAAAATAACTGTACTGAGAAACCTAGTTTCACTTAATTAAGGACACAATCTAAAAGAAAATGGTATGTGTAATTCATTTGTAAAATACTTATAGGGAGCAAATCCGCTCATAAAGATTTAAAGGAGCCCCAGACAGTATGGCTCAGTTGGTTGGGCATCATCCTGCAAGCTGAAAGGTCACTGGTTCAATTCCCAGTTAGGGCACATGCCTAGGCTGAGGTTCGGTCCCCAGTCACAGCATGTACAAGAGGCAGCTGACCGATGTTTCTCTCCCTCTCTTTCCCCCTTCCCTTTCTCTTTCTCTAAAATTAAAAAAAAGACATTTTTCTTGATGAGTTAACAAATATAGTCACTTTGAAGATGTATAACTAAAAATAAAGAAGCAGGCAAAGCATTCCTATGATATATAAGCACTTGGGTAGAATTGGAACCATTTCTCATTCTGCAAATATGAGTGTACAGTTTGAAACTGTATGTGTGTTACAAACCAGAAATGTTAAGAGTTAATAACTAATTTTTGTCATTTTCAGTTCTGTCGCCTTTGCAGTCTCTTAGATCTAGCTTATATTGTACTTGTGTCCTGCTCGGAGTCTTCCATTTCCCTGGTACTGACGTGGGAATTCTCCTGTTCTCTGATCGTAGAGGTACAATGGTGCCTTTTCAGTTCGAGATAGTCTCTTGAACAGGTGGGTGGAGTCCTAGTGGACTCATCCATAGACACAATTTGGTTTTCTCCTGCTGAACCAGACAAGAGGGCCTGGGTATTTATCAATGCAAGTTCTTGGTCGGATATTGAATCAATTTCCAAAAAAGAGATGTCATTAAATTTTTTAAGTGGAGTTATCTGAAGAGAACTCAATTCTTTTTTCTTTATAGGTGTTTCATATTTGGTGCCACAACTCCGTGGCGGCTGAAATGCCTTCTGTGCAGCTGGAGAAACAAATGTACAAATGGGACTAACAGGTGGAGGTAAAGGTAGTCTACTCAAGAAATCCAAGGCTTGTCTCTTCTTGCAGTTTTTTGGGTCATCAACCGCTTTCTCCCCTTTACAAGACTTTGCGGTCATTTTGGCCGATACAGGTGTGGGAACAGACTTCCCTTTTGGCTTACAAAGTGATAAAGGACTTTGATAGTTCATCTCACTACTGAGTGAAGACATCTAATTAAAAACAAATGAAAAAGTGGCATATATAATTATGTGCTCATATATAAAACAAAATCAAATTAGCAGCTTTTCATTAAAAACATTTAAACACACAGATACCACACACATTCTCACTCTCCTAATGGCTAGCAGGTCAGATGATTTCATGAGACATTCATATTTTTATTATTATTCCCCCACAAGGAAATAAGTTTAGCAGAAGAGGATATAAAAATGACATGAAAAGAATGAATGAAGAGTAATCACAGTAAAAGATAAAAAAAGAAGTAGGGGACATAACTTCTGCTTTAATCTTTTTTTCTTTTTTTTTCTTAGTACTAACAAATTAAACAAAGATAAGCATTTTAAAACCATTTTAAGAACACAGACTGCCTGGGTTCTAATACCTACTTTTCTGTCTTTGTGACTTTAGGCAATTTCTTAACCTCTCTATGCCATAGTTCCCTCATCTGTAAAATGGTGATCATTATATTTATCTGAGACGGTTCTTGTGAAGGTAATGAGTTAATATAGATACACTTACCAAGTGTTAGCTACTTAAAGAATTAGTCCTTAGCCAATATTATACTTCAGCTTGATTTGCATTTATTGTGATTTAAAGAGTTAAATCAAACTGAGCTTAAAAACAACGCTAATTATATTGAATAGTTCTCCTAGCACAAAGATAAAGGCAAAAAAGTCTTTTCTATTACATGTACTTGAAATACTAAAAATCAAAGCATCTGTTTGTAAAATTTGCTCCCAGAGAGTGTTACATTTTGGCTTCAATAAACAAGATATAATTTCCAGATAACCTAGCTATACCTATAAAAGTCACAATTAATTACACTCCCTAATTATATTTAATTGCATTTTACCATGTTTACTAGGTGTATACCAGAATATTTTATTGCCTTCATATATATAGCTATAAAATTCTTTTAATTTACATTAACTTACCAGAAACTTACTTCCTGCACCAAGGACTGTTTGAACAGTGTGTGGGTCTGAAGTACATTCTTTAGTTGGAGTGGACCACTTGGGATCATTTGCATTAAGTATATGCATAAGCTTGTTTTCTGCAGCATTGCAAAATGTATCAATATTCTAAAAAAATTAATTGGAAAAGCTGTTTTATAAAATGCAAATCTACACATTCATGTTTTTAGAAAGTGCTACCTTTAAAACCAGAAATAAAATATTCAGACCAGAAAAAAAGAACGAAACATCTCAAATTTGATAGCAACTGTCAAACAATATGCTAATGCAAAATTGCAGAATCACCATCAGCGATTCAGGAGAGCTCAGTGTTGGAGGGGAAGAGAAAGAGTATACACATCAGGGAAGGAGAGGGATTAGGAGTTGTTCCCAAACATAGAATTTAATTAGCAAGGTGTACGATGATTCCGGATTTGGAGTCAGAAGACTGAGATTCAAGATCCATCTCCATTTACTAATAGCTGTAAATCATCCAACATCTACAGAGTAGTCCTCAGGACTAAAATGAGAGAACGGCCTCATGTCTGTTCCAAGGATTGGTTGAAACAGATTTATTTAATACCATTATGTGAAATATAAATAGATGTAAGCAAAAATGCATTATGATACAAGGAAAGTAATTTTAATATTTTCCTACCTGGGATTATTTCAAAGCCAAGACAGGTATAAACTGTATAAAATACTAAATTTGGAATCTGCCTATTATTATCTAATCACACTACCAGCTAGTATGAACATTATTCTTGTTACCAGTTTTCAGTTTGCTTACATGGTCTATAGCTTGAACATCCTTCTGACCATCTCTCCTAACTCAATTCCCCTCAAATCATTCTCTTTCCTGGTAGCTGTCACCCCAACCTCAAGTTCATGAGCAATTAATGTTTGCTAAAAACCTCACCTGATTTCATATCTCAACATCCAGTTTTCATAAAAGCTGCCACTCCTTTGATATTTGACTCAAAATACCAAAAGGTGTGGTAATAGTCAAACTAATTTTACCTCAATAGTATCTTTCATTTTGTGGAACACTGCTTGAAAATGGCTCTCCTTTGGACTGGTAGAAAATGTGGAAAAATTTCCAGCAAATAAAGTAGGAATTCCTGATTTGGGTTCTGGTCGCCATTGCAGGTTGCTCGCAGCAATTAACATGCGAGGTTTAATGATGTCTTCATTAAGATCTATCCAAAATTTGATTGCTAGTAAGTTATGGCATTCATCTGACAAATACGCCGAAGGAGCAAGACCTAAAATGAGAACAAAGAAAACCAACCCATTTCATTATATATGTTAAATAAATTTAAAAATGCAAGGCACCTCTAGTATGTCTGTTTATCTTGGTATGCTAATTGTAAAAACAAATTAAAATAACTAAATTTAGGGAAAGCCCAGGGTTGACCTGTTATTTATAGTGCTAAAATTTCAATGCCAGCTGACAACACATTCTGTTCCTGAGGCCATAGGAAACAGGCATACTTGTACACTGCTGGTAGCAATACAAGTTTGTACAACCCTGTGGAGAAAAATTTGGTAATACCTACCAAAGTGACATATGCACTTACTTTTCACCCAGCAATCCCACTTCTAGTTTTCTACTCTGAAGATACACTTCCAATGATAGTAAAATACACACAAAAAAGGTTGTTGAAAACACATGTATGAGGTTACTTACTGAAGCAGTGTTTGTAATTATAAAGGACTAACAGCAACCTATCTTTAAGCTCACGCCCAGGAGAGCAGTTGGGTAAACCATGACACACACCCTTATAATGGAGTACTATGCAGCTGACAACAGGATGAAGAAGAGCTCTAGCTGTGATTTCCAAACATACTGTTAGGTGAGAAAGACAAGCACAAAAGAAAGTCTAGAATCTATATGCAAATATACATGTATCTGTCCATTTGTACAAAACATACAGGAAGGATAAACCAGGAACTACAGGGGTTGGGTATGGATGTGGGGAAAAAGGACTAGCATTGGGTCAGCAGGGAGGAGGGGGGAGTGACACTTCTGAGTTTGTCTCTCTGTGTAGCTCTGACTCTGAGAAGGACAATTGATATTCTACATATCCTTCAATATATCCCCCAAACAAACAGAACCAATCAGCTATGAGGGAATCCAAGTTGGAACACAAACAGTTCCAAGCCTGAAAGGGCCTGCAAACAATGATGCCCCTGTAGTAGTAAGGAGCATGTCCAGCAATCAGACATTGGTTCTAAACTCCATTTTCTAAAAAAAAAAAAAAAAAAATGGAAGGGAAGGGAAGGAGAGAGAAGGCAAAGGGAGGGGAAGGAATGGAAGAGGAGGGGAGGGGAGGGAAGGGAAGCGAAAAAGGGATCCAGGGTGTCTTGGGGAAGTGCTACAAGTCCTCCAATAGCTCATTTTGTTCAACACTGTTTTTTTATAACATTGATGAGATGCCATAGGAAATTAACCCTTGTTTGTATACACTAGCCTGTGGAAAAAGCAGTTTTGTTATATGGCATTTCACTTAAAGTTGCAGAACCTACCAATGATGTTAAGTGAGGACTCACTGTAGTTGATTCCCAGACTGGGTAGGGAACTTATAAGATGAACCTAGAATATCTTGCGATGCCAAAAAAGGAAGGAAGGGCTCAAAAAATACAGGAGTCAACCTGAAAAAGCTCCTAGTGGCCCAAATTGAAACAATAGGAATAATAAAATAATAAAGGTACTAAACCTTAATCCCTGAAATAAATTTTCATAAGTCCATACTGATATATATCAAATAAATAAATGCAGAGAAAAGGGGCAGCTCTTCCTCACAGTACAATTCAAATGAATGTAGAAGGAAAAAAGAAAAAAAAGAAAACCATTATTAGGCAAGTATCACAGTAATAACTGTTGAAAACAGAATCAACTGATGGATGCTAAATGAATGGGTGAGAGTTTGCAGTGAGGTAGGTTATGAATAGACTCAAAAAATCTCCTCCAAGATCTATATTGACTACAAAGGTAAAGTTAGCTACTTACAGGTAAGGAACCCAGCAGAAACCACCTGAACCAAGTAACCAAGGTTGTTGCCATTACCAGCAATAAGAAATACCAACATCACTGACCACCCTTTGATATGATGTACAGAGAAGACAAGACATCATTTCTGTGGTAACTTTCCTCAAAATGTATAACTTAATCTAACCATGGGAAAACATCAGGCAAACCCAGTTGAGGAAAATGCTATATAATACTTGATCAGTCCATTCATGAGTGTCAAGATCATGAGGAAGTGTTAAAGACCGGAGAAGACTTAGGAGAAATATGACTAAATGTAAGTGGGATCCTGGAATAGAAAATAGAAAATAGCGTAAGAAGTTCCAAACTCAAATAAATCTAAAGTTTAGGTAACAATATTGTATCAATGTTTACTTTCTGATTCTAATAGTTGTATTACGGTTATGCAAGATGTTAACAGGGGAAGCTGGATGAGGGATATTTGGAAACTATTATTTTTGCAACTTTTCTGAAGGTCTAAAATTAGTTCAAAGTAAAAAGTTAAATATTTTTTCAGTGCCAAAAAATGGGAAGGGGTGACTGGATAAGTCAGGCTAGGACTGAGGCTAGGAAAATCTAAGCACTCAACAGTCAGTCCTACTTATTTACATTTTCTTATTTCTGTTGCTCTGAGAATTACATTTCCCTTATAAATAGTAGGAATGAAAAGAACTGCCATTGTCAGATAATCAGTTGTTCATCCTGTTGTAAAGGACAAGTATCCCTTTCACTTTTCAAATTTATCAATAGATTGATTTAATGGATTTTAATCTTAAATACTGCTGTTAGAGAAATTACAAGTTTCGCAACCCAAGTATGTTCAATCTTCTGATTTTGGAATTTGCCTCTAATTACATTCAAAACTTGATTACAGTAATGCCCTTCTTCCAAATGTCCTTCTTTAAAATGTCCTGTTTCACCCCAGTTACAAAATACATGTTTATTGAAACACATATAGAAAAATGCAAAATATAAAAATTAGCTTACAGTGTAGTTTCCTTCATTTTTCCACAAGCTGAGGTTTCCTATCTGGATCACACTGCATGCACTGAAAGAAACTTGTCTTATTTCACTGCCATCCATCTTGTACAAATGACAACAATTGCAAGAATTTTTTAAAGTAATGTTTACAGAATATTGGCGATGAACAAAAAACTCCATGAAAATAAAAAGATGAGAATAAGATTATTTTGCAGCTTTGTAGCCTGGTCTACTCTGAACTTACATAGAATTCTTTGTAGCTTTTAAATTTCTTTTAGAAAGCTTCATGGAAACGATAAAAGTATTTAGTTTATGGAACCACTGTCACAGATTCTACCTACAGTGGATGCGGTGTTTCGGGTGCATATCGCTATGAACAAGGCAGCCATTTTCCCATTTCTGGGAAGCATTGGCTAACGATTCCTGCCTGGGTTCCTTGCTGGGCTTTGCCCTCAACCCAGGTACTATGAGGTACCTAAGGCAGAACCACTCTCTGGAGGAAGCCAGCATCCAATGACCGGCCCCTTGCCTCAAGTGGGCCTGACCCTGCAGAGCCACCCCAACCCGTGTCCCCGTGGGATTCGCTGTGCCTCTGCACTCCGTTCAGCTTCTCCTTATGGCCTTTGCTCCCTCACGGGCACTGTTCCTGGGCAGCACTTGCTTAATAAATCTGTATAGAAATCTCTGAGTCTGTTTCCCTGGGAACCCAACCTGAGAAGTGATCTCGGTTAATTCATTTTATATCACAGGGTTTCTGTAATATAGTAACAAAACAGACTAACAATATAGAAGTCCCTGTTTTAAGCCCAACTCTTAAATGTTGGGCTTGGTATGCTGTGTCAGCAGGAAGTACAAGAAAAAACATACACTTGAGACCTGAAAGGTGGGTTTACATCCCTTTACAGAACTGTGACATTGGGCAGGTTATTTACCCTCTTTGAGCTCCAGTTTCCCTGTCTGCACAGGGGGATGATATGAGCAAATGAATTGTATTACTATGACGACTTGACAGAATTGTACAAACCTGAAGTTTTTAACAATTACTCTCCCCCCACTGTGTTAGAGGGAGGCCTGTTTTGAAGAAACCACAGTTTTACAGGGTTTAGGGGTTAGAAAGGAGGCTCAGAAATGGAGAGACAGGACCAAGGACCATGTGATGAATGCTCAAACAGCCAAACTCACAAAATACCACAAAAGTGGAGAAGGGGGCTCTAACCCAGACCAAAAGCATCTGGCTCAGAGGTAATGCAGAAGCTGAACAATGAATGGGAAATTCATCAAGATGGGGAGGACAAAGGGCATTCTAAGCAAAAGGAAAGCATTTTTAAAGGTAGGAAGTGTTAAATGCTACTGTGTGTCAGGTACGGTGAAACCAGGGTTTCTCTGAGGTGTGTGTATAGGGTGGCTTAAGGCAGGAAGTACAAGAGTTTCCAGGCATATAAACAAGTTTGGGTTTCATTTTCTAAGGGACAGAACATCACGAAAGAGTCTAAGCTAGGAGACATGATTAGATTGGGTGTTATAGATTGGTAATATTAGATAACTAGTACTTCCAAAGTTGGTGGCACTCTGAAACTTTCTGACAGAATTTTATTCCTCTAAAATTTAACATCAAACTAAATTAAAAAAGAAATGTTCACCAAAAACATATTAATGAGGAATATGCTAATATAAAATTTAAAAACTGGTGATTAAGGAAAGAAAACAGAGCACTCTAGATAGAGCCAAGCACAGAAGGTTCAGCTTCGAATCCCCTTCCCCCCAAATTTGAGAATTCTGTTACCCTTAAACCTGAAAGGCAAATAGAATGGGTATCCTTACTCTTTTCCTCTTCTGATCAGAAATAACGAAAATGGCTGTGGGGGGAAGCAGGCGACCTGGATTCACAGAAGTGAATGAATGGTACAGAGTTCAGGATGTTATGGGTTGAACTGTGTCCCTCCAAAAGATGCTGAAGTCATATCCACCAGAACCCATAATGTGACCTTATTTGGAAATCATATCTTTGCAGATGTAATCAAGTTAAGATAGTCATTAGGGTGGGTCCTCATCCAATGTCTTTACAAATAGGGGGCATGTGGACGTAACTATGCACACGTAACATTCTGTGAATCTGCACGAAAATCTTCGGGGTGATGTGTCTACAAGCTAAAGCTTGTAGACAAGAAACCACCAGAAGCCAGGAGAGAGGGCTGGTGCAGATTCTCCCTCATAGCCTCAGAAGGAACCAACCCTGCAGTCAAGGAAGTCACC